AATAACATTTCATGGAATGATTCCAGTATTTATTCTGTTTCCCATCTTTCTTTTCTTGCTGCCTTTTGAAAGAGGTGCTGGGGAAGGTGCTCAGCTGCTGTGAAGCAGCCCATGGACAGAGAGCTCAGAGCTCTGTGCACTTCCAGCAGAGAGAAACCCAGCCAAGGGTTTTTCCCATATACAGGAGAACTTAATTTAAATGAGTGCTATTAACTCTGGTTGTCTTCTCGTTGGTTTTTAGTTTAAAATTAACAAAGCATATGACTGAGTTTTTCCCAGAGTGGGTTCCAGAAGGATCCAGGGGGCAGGAGACTGTGGTGAGACTTAGCAGGTAGGAAGGCTGCCCCTGTGAAGCCTGCTTGCTCCAGCTAGAGTGCTCTCTCTCACTTTAGTACTCACCCTGTTGCCATCTTAAAGACATTTCAGTCAATCAAAGGAGATGTGGTGCAAAACAAAAGGTACTGGGTCATGCCAAAATGTATTTGGGAAGGGTAGAGAGAATGTGTGAAGCACCAAGATTATATGCCCAGGGACAATCAGATTTGTACCATCTTTTTCTAATTTTTTCTATTCTATTTGATCGTGGTTTGCCAAAATCAACACCACTGATTTTAATACAGGTGCCTTTGTTCCCAGAAATGGTCTGAATGAAACCTGGGATTATGAATGCTTTCCTATTCATGCTGAACCTTGGGAAGCTTTCCATGCAGCAGGTAATCCTTTGATTATTTATTTTTTCTTTTCCTCTTTGCTGTTATTAACTTCCTCTACCCAGGTTTGACACTGTTGTAGTAGGATTTTGCTGTCCCACACCATGGTGTGACAGAGGGGCTGTAGCCATTACAGATGGAGTTTGTAGACATGATTTTGGGTGCTAATGTGCCTTGGAAGGTCCAATCCAAATAAGATGTGAATATTGCAATTGCAGCATGGACACGCTGCCAGACTTAGAAGAGTCAAAATTTGGGATTAGGGCTGAAACAGAAAAAGTCTTTGGAAATCTGCAATTTCCCTTCCATGCAAGCCCTTCAGGCACAGTCAAATGTAGAATATGAGAACTAAGTATGAAAATAAAAGTTGTGAAAAAAATTGCCTCAGTTTCACTGTTTCTTTAAAACTTGGATCTCAGCCCAAGGTCGCAAATTGGTCCTCCCTGTTTTATTGACTTATAAAGAGACCCTGGGCAGTGTTTTGAGTAAACCTGGACTTACTGATGGCTTAGTGTTAAAGAAATATGTGAAATCTGTGGTTCTGCAGAGTTCCACTGTGAAAGCTGATGAAACTTGTTAAAAGGGAAGAGTGGCTGCTGGTTAATCACATACCTGACACACAAGCAATGAGGGTCCCTCTTAGAGAGGTTTTTTGGGACAAGTCATGTCACATCCTTCTGTGTCAGCTTTATCATCAGTAATGACAGGATGGGAGGATTTATCTGCCCTACCTGCCTGCCTTATTTGCAAAATAGATTGAAAACCCCTGGAGATGGTGTAATAAGTCTTAAAATTACTTCACTCAAAACCATTTAAAGTTTCTGTCTTTGGAGGAGTAGGAAATCTCACCTCTTATAATGTGAAGAGGCAGCAGATGACCTATTAGTTTGCATCCTACATATAGTGATCCATCAACACCAGGATCAATTTCCTGAAGGTCACCAGCTCTTTTAAATCCTGCCATCCTCTTTGAATTCAGACAGCAGGGATTTGGCTTCTCTCTCCCTCACCTGCATTTTCCCTTCTTTCTCTTTTGATAAACATAGGCATTGCAGCTTTAAGATTTTAAGACCTTTCCCAGATGGAAAAGGTCATTTGTCTTTCACTACTCAACACTTCCTTCATGAGTTCATTTAAACATTGCCAGGCATCAGAAGAACAGAACTCAGCTGTAGGGTTATCTGTGTCTTATTCCCCTTTTGTGTAGGTGGCAAAACTGATCTAGAACAAAACTGTTTGGTTCCCATAGCAATTTACAATGTGCAGAGACCATAATACTGTACTCTTCCCACTCCTTATCTACACCTGTTATGTCTTCCTTTGCCACACTGCTAAGAGCTATAGCACTGGCACTATTTTGAATGGCATCAAGCAGGCCATTTCCCCAAATTTCATGCAATTTCTCCCTGTTTCTGGTAAGGACAGATTGTACTTTTAATCTAAGGAACAAAAAGCAAACCTTTTATTAGCCACTTTCAATTGGATTCTCAATGAAAAGTTAATTAAAGGAGTGTAATGAAAAGATATTACAGTGCATCTACTAATCTTGGTACATTATTTATATTAAGTCAGTCATCAAAATTAGTCATGTGCCCTATCTTGCTGTGTGTGGTCTGGTTTGAAACGGTGTGTTTTTTTCCACTCAGCTCCACTGGATACAGTTAAGATACACATTTGATGTGTTATGCAGTTAGATCATATTTTGAAAGTTTATTATGCTCTCTATCTCTCTGTATCTGCAGGCTCGGAGTCAAGGGACCATTAAAGGCTTTCAGCTCAGCTTTGCAGTGTGCCTGAGATGAGACAAGTGACAAAAGTCCTCCTTTCCTGTAAGCTGACGGGCAGCTGGGGCCAGGGGAGCAGTGTCCCCCCGAGCCCTGAGTGGCACCAGTGGCTCTGGGAGGGCAAGGTCCCTGCTGTCCCCCTGTGGAGGAGCATCCCTTGCACCCAGCCCCTGTCTGCAGAGTGCTGCCTGCTCCAGCAAGAATGAAATCCCTCTGGTTCTGCTCTCGCACTCTGGGAAACTCTTACTCCCTGCAGGTACCACAGCGCCTGCTTTGTTTGGCTTTTCTCACTTTTCTCCTTAGGATGTGCCCCAAGAAGAAATCAGGGCTAACAAAGTCATTTCTGGGTGGTCAAAGAGCTGCTCCTTCCCTCCCTGCCTTGTCTTATCCTCTCCTGCAGGGAGCAGATAGAGTTACGGATCCCAGGAGAGGAGAATAGTTTAGTGATCACTTAAGGTCACTGTCAATGCTGTTGCATGAATTGACCTACTAGGGGCTTCTGTGAGAGCAGTGCTGTTAGCTGGGCACAGAGGGGTGTAGCATTACAGAGCAGTGCAGGGAAGTCGCCCACTCAAATCACTGAAGCATTTTAATTGACATTCAGTAACCAGCTGCCTTTAATAGGGTGAGCACTGCTAATGCCAGTCATGGGGCTGCTCTGTGCTCTCTACCACAGCTCCTGCTTGAGCTGCAGCTCAATGCCTGAGAAAGGCACCTGGAAATAGAATCTTTTCACTGCAGAGAGCAAAAGTAAGTGCATAGCCACTCGCTCAACACAACACAGGCTGTGAGAAAGTGCAGCTTGGGTGGAAAGAGCTAGGTTAAGAAGTAAGTGTCCACACTGGCACTGGGCTGCTCAGCTCAGGGGTGAGTCGAGGCTCTCTGTGAGTTTTCCTTGGAAGATGGGGAAAGGAGCAGGTCTGTCTGCTAGTTCTGGGGAGCAGGGAAAGCAGTGCAGGGAGGTGGGGAGGTATTCCAGCTGATCTCCTTTCCTTTGAGTGCCTCCTCACCTTTCCTCATTGATGTCCTTCAAACCTATTGCATTTTTACACTTGTCAAAGGCTTTTCAAATTTCACATCAGCATTCCCTTCTTTGAAGACAATCCACTTTTGGAGACACTTGATAATGTGTCAATAATGTCATGTACCCCAGCCTGACTCTGCAACAGCAAATCACCAAATACTCTTTCCCCATCACACTGCTTTGGTTACTTGTGGGCAGCTTAAGGGATGATATAAGGGCATGATAGGAAATCCATCTTGCAGGCTCAGACCAGACATATTGATCCTACAGAATGAGGATTTGTGCTCTCCAGCATTGCTCCATTAACTATAGCAGCAAGAAAGGTGTCTACAGCTAAAAAAGGGCAAAATAAAGAGGAGAGCAAACCCCCTGTGATAGGGCATGGCCAAAGTCCAAAACATATTTTAGACCAAGATACATTTCTGCTCTCTGAATATATTTTGGAATTTTTTTGTCTTGAAACCAATGCATGTCTCTAGTTGAGAGGCACTATGCTCATGAGGGATTGCAAGGTAGCTGAAGGAACCAAACAAATCTGGTGTGCTAGAGACAGCCACTCTTGCTCCTGCTGGATAGGGCCTTACTCTGGGAACAGTCTAATTTTTTTTCTCAGTTTCTTCTATTGGGAAAAAAACTGATTTTTGCTCTGATTCCTTGAATGGGGCAGCTGGGCTAAAACTCTCAGCTACAGTGTAAATGAAGGGGCCAGATATAGAAAAAGCTTCTTGAAATTTCAGTGCAACTTCCAGCAAAGCTAGCAAGCAAGACACACTCTAGATATTTTTTCTATATTTTATTACCTTTTCTCATTATTTTCTGGTTGCAATGGCTGAACCTGGGCTCAATGTCTCCAGTTTCTCACAGAGTATCATTCACTTTGTGTACCAGAATGAACTAAAGCAGTAACCATAAAATGGATATCTCTTGATCAAGGATGCATCCCCTCTGACTTTCCTCATAAGATATTAATAAGAGAGAGGCATTATCAGATTCCATTTAACAGGTGTGCAGAAGAAGGGGAAATCTCATAATCATTTAATATTTTCTGCAGGAACATCCTTCATCAGCTTTTGCTAATTATGAAGATGAAGCCATTTTCTATTTTTCCCATTTAAAGCCAAAGACAAAATTCAGGACACAGCAACAGCAATTTATTTTCTAGGTTTTGCTTTCTTCGTGCAAAGGAATGCCAAGGTAACCTTACAGGGTTTCATTTTAAAACAAGAATTCAGAGGAAAAATACCCTGGCTTTAGCCCACTGTCTCTATTAGTTTATTAAAATATTAGTCTTGTAGGTGTGTTAGATTGATTTGCCTTCATGGTGTTTAAAAATAGCTGTGAGAATAATGGGCTTCATCAAAAATCATTAACTGGGACATTACTTTCATTTTTTAACCACAGAACAAAGTGTCACAGCCAGATTAAACAAGCCAGAAAGCATTTGGAGTGCACACAAACAGCCAGAAATTTATATATATATACCTTAATCATGGAAAATCCTGGAAGATATTAGCTGTCTTCCACTGCAGTTGGGTCAGAATCCCTAAGAAAGGTCAGATTGTTTGAAGTGGCTGGTATTTGTACCAGCTGACATGCAAAGGCTCAGTTATTTATAGTGGTTTGCCTGCATCCCCACAATGCTAAGGGACTGAATGAGATTGCAGAGATGAAAGGACACTTCAGTCTAACAACTGCAAATAGCTGTAGCTCAGTGAACTTCTAAATTATGGCATTACCAAACTAGAAAACTGCCAAGCTTAAGCACAGGTTTTAATCCTTATAGGGTAATGGGATCCCATAAAAGCCTTTTTTTTGGAGGGGTGCATTTTATTTTCGTAAAGTTTAGCTCCCTGCGTAGTGCAGTCAAACTTTAGGGCTTCCCTTCCAAGTTTCCCTTATGATCTGTGTCGTCTTTATCTGGTTGTGTCAGCCAGCCCCTCTGATGGAGTTGTTTTTTTTAGCTATAGGACTTGGACAGGGAAAGAAGCACCTGGGGTCATATGAGGACAGTGTTGGGACTGGGAAGAAATGTGGATCCAAGTTCAGCAGGGTGAATGCTCACCCCTTCTTGCTGAATATTTCGTAGGCGAGTGACCCACCATAGATCAAGAGAGAGAGAAAGAAGATATTTCTGATGAAAATTAAAACACTGATAAAACTTATGGGAAAAGATAAGGGTAGTTACCATGGCCAATAAGAGTGAAAACTCCTGTAAACTGGCTCAGGAGATCTCTCTTGAAGAAATCACCCACAACTTCCAGTTATACTGGACTAGTCAGGTCTCTGGGGAAAAGGTGCTTTCTACTCATCTGCAGGTCCCAAATCATCAGGGAATTAAAGACATGGAATGTTGGCCCAAACAGCCAAATGGAGGAAAAAGGTCCTTGCAGTCAATTCAGCCTCAGGGGAAAACTCCCATTTTGCAGGCAGGGAGCAGCTGAGTTGTTGTTTCTTTAAATCAGTTTGGTTTTGTGTGGGATGTCCTTTGGATCTGATCAGGCCAAGAATGAGCAGGGTGTTATCTCTGAACAGCTCATGAGCCTTCCTGAGCAGATAGCCTGGAAAGAGCCCCAGTGACTGGCCCTAATCCTAAAGCCTTCCCTCACACAGATAAACCCCCTACAGCCAGAGGGACGGAGGAAATTACTGATATTCACTCATCTATTTATATTTAGACAAAAGATTAAACGACTTGGAACTGCCACGCTATGTCCATGGCGAGGCTCCTGCAAACATGTGAGAGCTTGCAAGGCTTCTCTGCACAGGCTTAACTGGAAATGGACTTGGATTGTGGACATTTTCCAGCAATGTGCTTCCTCGGTGAAGGGAAGCTATGTTTAGAAAGCAAACAGACTGGTTTTTTAGGGTTGAACTTACCAAGAACCATCATTTTGATGAAAACAAGAGTCCTGTTGAATTTGTGTTTTTATAAAAGTCTAAACAATTCCCCAGACTTGAAGCATTGTCACTTTGTGAGGACTGCAGGCACGTTGAAACAAATCTTTGCAAAGAGGATGTTCTGATGCTATCAGGGTAAAATCACTCAGGATTTCAATTTCATAGGAAATTTCAACCTTCTTTTTCCGGTAAGGTATGAAAAAAAGAAATAATCAGAAGACTGTAATATCCCTGGCTTCAAAGTGAAATGCCAGGTTTCAACCAGCTTTACTAAACCTCCCTCTACTCTTGACTGGCACTAGGCCAGTGCCAAGCTAGGCACCTGAAAAATTTTATGGAATCACCATGTTTTTTTCATCAACCCTTCTCCCACATTTCCTCACAAAAAACACCCATTTTGTCAGGTGATAGAAAGACACACGAGAAGCAAGACCTCTTGTCTGTGTCCTGCCCCATGGCACAGCATGGCATAAGCAACCCTTGACCCATCACCTGGAAATGCTTTGCTCTTCATCCTCAAGTTATTATTGTCAAGTGAGTTGGACAGAGCAACTTCTGGCTTGATTGTGTTTGCATGGGTTTGAAGGATAGTTCCAAGAAGCATCTTCTGGCCATTGCTGTCTGCTCTAAAAAGACTTTTTAAAGGGTTTTGGTGTTAGAGAAGACATCAGTAATTGTTTTTCAGGTGGTATTTCAGCTGTTTTGCTGGAGGCTCACAGAGACTGGACAGCCTCGCCTTTATTGATTTGCCTTGGTCAGATTGTTGCTCTGCTCTCAGGGCAGTTCCCAGCCTCCTCTTTCCCTCACTTTCCCCCCAAGTCCAAGCCCTAGACCAATAGCCTGTGCTTGGGATACTCAATATATAAAAACCAAGAGTGACAACTCCCACACCATGGGACACCTGCTCTGCCAGAGGCGCCTGAGCAGGGCGAGAGTTTTCTCAGGATGGCCTGAGAGGGTGGCCTGGACCTCTGCAGCCTCACCACAGCGTGGGTCAGGGTGGAAGGACCACTGGGGGTCACCCAGTGCAGCCCCCTGCTCAGACAGGATTCCCCAGAGCATGCTGCTCAGGACTGTGTCCAGACACCTTTTGGATATCCCAGGGAAGGAGGTTCCAGAACCTCTCTGAGCACTGTCCCTGTGCTCAGCCACCGCACAGTACAGTCACAGATATCTTCAGTTTCTTCTCCAAATGCATGGACATTTAACATGTAAATACACAGCAAGACCACTCCAATCCAGAAATTCAGAAATCCAGACTCATGATTCCAGTTTGCCCCATGTCTCATCAAACACAAGGCCACAGTGGAGTTTTCTTCCCCAAGAAGAGATGAGGGAAGAGACTGGTGACAGATGTTAATTAGAATGTTAAAATCACCTCTGGAAAGAGCTCAGACATGTCGTGGGGCCTCCCAGTATACATTTATTTCCTTGGAACTTGCCTGTTGGTCCTACAATTAGCATGGAACCTGGCCCTGCAGTGCACAGTGTGCTGGAGGTGGCATTAAGGAAGACCTGTTTTCTTAGACTTGCTGTTTTCCTCCTTGCTATCTGCAGTGTATATTTATGTTAATTGGAGCAATACATCTGTCCTCAGAGTTTATCAGATTCAAGGAGATAAGATATTGCCATCAAAGCCTATTCTGAGCTGCGAGCTCCCCAGTAAATCAATGTTACATGAATTAAGATTGCCTTGAGATTTTCTCTAGAACATTTTATCTGCCCATATCTGGAAATTGTTTCTAATCAGAACTCTGTAAAAAACAGCTTTAGGAATTTTCTCATGCAGCTTACAAACTCTGTGGTCTTAAACAAGCTTTAATTACCAGGGCTTCAATGGCAGCAATTTTATGATGTTTCAGAAGTGAAATGGTTTATACTCTGGTGATAAGAACTTCATAGGAGCCAGTAAAACATAAAGCAGAATTCCACAGCAGGAGATAGATTTTTAATGGATTTTTTTCAGATAATTCTTAGCCTTTTCCACCAACAGTCAAGATACATAATGTGTTAATGGGCACTTAAACTTCTTTATTTTCAGTACTTTTACCTGGTGCTCCTACCTTTCGCTTTGCCATGTTTAGGTATGAGATCAACCCCATTTCTGTCCATTTGAATACAAAAAAAGCCAAGCATTCTTCCACCTACCACAAAAAATATCCCTTTTAGGATAACTGTCACCACAACACAAGCCCTGTCACAAGCTCCACGTGGATCATAGTGGTTGGCACTCTGCACTCACATGCTGGCCACAATGGAAAGTAAATATGGAAGGATGGTCTTGCATGTCAGAGCTGAAGTAAACATGTGGTAGCATCGGGGTAGGTGAAGACTGCCAGTATACACAGGAGTAACTTCAATTATCCAGTGCTGCTGAGTCTGGACTTCTAGAAGGATAAATATTTACTACTCTAAATGAAATATATATGTAATACAAGTGTTTGTTGCCATCTGTATAGGATAGATTAAGGAAGAGTAACAATTGTGTAGTTGTCACGTGGTCCTTGAACTAAAAACTTTCCTTTGAGTGCACAGGTGCTATTTTAAAGTTCTACCACCTGCAGAAATCTTCATCTCAGCCTCACCAGAAAAGTTCCAGTTTGTCTAACTGGGGACATTGTTCTCCCTGCAAGCACTGGGGTCCATGAGCTAATAACTGATGAACCCTAAGTTCTGTCCTTGCCTTTGCCACTGGTCTGTGGGGTGAAAGCAGGGGAACTGTTGGTAGTGCCAACATGACATCTGAAGTGCAAGCCAAGCCTGTGCTCAAGACCAAGCTTTTCCATCAGATTTGGGTGCAGGTGCAGATGAGTCCAAAGCACAGAAGACAAAGAAGACAAGTCTGACTCTTCTGGACTGTGACGTCTCCACTTTTGCAGTGAAACGACTCTGGGTGTTACTACAAAGCAGATCGTAGCACCACAACTTTTTACAGCTCAGTTTAACTTTGCTGGAAGGATTGGGTCTGACCCAGTCCCAGCCTGGACAAGCCTCTGTCATGTGAAGGTTGTTTTGATTTATGCCTGCACTTAAGAGGATCCAGGTGGCTCAAGGAAAGCGTTGGGTTGCTGTTGCTCCCCGCTCCCGATGAACGCCGGGTGTTTCTCGCCAGGTCACTCAAACAGCAATAGAACAGGTGATAGAAAAACCTCACACTGCAACAGAACAGGTGATAGAAACACCTCAAACAGCAACATAACGTTGGCCATTCCATGACATTGTAAATCAGGCTGCAAACCCCCAGGTTTGGAACAGTTAGTGTCATTGCCTGGGGCAGCACCGCAGACACGGCTTTATTTGCTTTGAACAGAATTAAAATGAGAAATAAAACCGCTGCTTTTGACAGTAGTTTAGTTTTAAATAGCTGGCATATTAAAAACTGTTTCTTAGGGCAGAGGGTTAATTATGCAACTTCTTTCTACTCCATCTTGTTTATAGGAATGGACCCCTCCTTGCTGTGCTCCACATCTCTCAGGGCTGGCTTGCATTTTGGCAGAGCAGTAACCCCTTTGCAGTATTTTGATACACATCAAAATGTTTTTGTCTGCAAAGCCATGTTATTGGACTGACATTCTCAGACAACTTTTGGGCTGAGTGGGTTTCTGTTTCTTCTTCTTCATCTTTCTATTTATCACCTTCCTAAAAATACAAGTGGTTGTAGTGAGG